CCGCCCGCCCCATGGTCAATCAAAAGATGGTAGTTGCGGAGGTGGTCGAGTTCATGACCAAGGACTACCGGAAACGCTTCAAGGCGGCCTTGGCGCTGCTGACGGACATGTACGTCGCCGACGTGGCCGCCGCCGCGGCTGCCGCCGCCGCCGCCCAGGTGGCGAAGCAGAAGAAGGGGAAGGCGATCAGCAGGCGGGCCGCCGCAAAGAAGCCGCCGAGGGGGTTCGACTTGTACGACGGGGCGCTCCTGCGGCTGCTGACCGCATTGTCGGGGTCGCTGGAGGCGACCTGGCGGCAGAAGCTCTTCACCCAGACCCTGCTCGAGTGCCCGCGAGTTCCGCCGGCGGCGCTGGAGCTGGTGTGCACTCTCTGCGACATAGCCGCACACCCCCACGACGTGCAGACCGGTGAGGGAGGGGGGCACGCAGCACGGAAAAAACATGGAGGGGGGGCGTACTCTTATGTTTTGCATGCCTTAGCGGTTAGACCATTGACCACGCGTCCTCGAGAGGACGGAGCATTGTTCCCACAGGACCGATCACCGATGGCCAATCGTTCCTTTCTACTTTGCCAAAGGTGGCTCAAAAGTGTTTTCCCTAGTCTGTCTATCCTAACGGTATCCCTTCCCGCCTTTTCAACCCACCTCCTATGCCCCACTACAGCTACCGTCCTTTCCTCTCTATTCCATGCCTCAAACATCTCCCTGTACGTTCCATCTATTTTTCCCAGCTCAGTCACGTACACTTCCCTCTCCTTCTTGTACAACGGACATTCCGCGACTACATGAACACGGTCTTCGCATTCGAAGCCACAATCACATTTGAACTCGTCGTCTTCGTCGTCTACCGTCCTATGTCTTCGTCGACGTTCTCGAAGGCTTATGTCCCCGGTGCTGAATTTGACCTTGAGCTTTGTTCCTGCATCCATTGGTCCACGTAGGAAATCCTTGAACCCTATTCCTTCCTTCAACATTCCGTACACTTGTAGACCCTCCTTATCCTTGGATTCTTTCCTTAGATTCTGTTCTCCTCTCTCGGCACAAGCAACAGATAACTTCTCTTTGAAGCCCTGTAGACCCTCCGTTTCCAGCGTTTCATCTTGGTCGATGTCGAGCCCCTTCCATACGCCCTCTACAACCTTGACCCATTCCGTGGGTTGTCTACCCCTCTTTTTGTTTGCCCACTTCGCCTCCCATACAATTATCGGCAACCTCTCCTCTCCCATCCCGCACATGCGATACTGCCATGTCAGCTTCCTCGCGTCTCTTCCCGACCGTAGGGATTGGCAGTGGGGGGTTCGTGCAGCAGGTCGATTGGGTGTTGCGTGTGGTTGTGTTTGTTTTTGATTGTTCGCGTCGTTTGCGGCTTCGGCAATGTTTTTCCTCAGGACGTGTCATATGCGCATCTTTTAAGCCCGTTTCGTGTGCGCACGATTCGCACGACGCAAGCCAGACAGACCCGGCGCTGGACACCCGAGCAAGCACCCGCCTCTCCCTCGTACAAACAGCGTGTTCTCGCCCCCCCGCTCTTCCGCCTCCTGGTTGCGTGCCTGCTCCCGGCCGGTTCGGCTGACAACGAAGGCCTGGTGGCGCTGAAGGATCTGATCTTTCACAAGCCGGCGACGAGGGGGGTGTGCATCCCCAGCGTCCTCCGCTTCACGTACCACTCGGACGACGACGTCAGGACGAAGGCCGTGCGGTTAGCTTCCAACCTGCTGTGGAAAGACCCGGCTTTTCAGACCACCATCGAGACCTTCGCCAAGCAGGTGGGTGTGCTGCTGCGTCGTAGCGGGCTTTGGGCTAAGGGGCTAAGGGGCTATGGGGGATCAGCGGTTCTCGTACCAGACCATAAATGAAGCGTTTTTTGTGCTCCGGGCGGCCCCGGCGTCCGCGAAACGACACTTACTAGGCGGCACCGTTAAACGAACCAGCGAGGCATGTGTCGTAGCCGTACCCGACATGCGCGTGCCGATGTAGACACCGACCGCCCTGCAGAGAACCTCGAAGTCGACACCAGCACCAAACGAGTGGTATGCAGACCATGGTGAAACTTCTCTGTGTCCTTTCGACGGCTGAAAGAGTCTGGTAATACAAGAACGGGCGGCCTCTGCGCGGTTGTCTCTGCAAGCGATGTGCCGCTGAGCAGGCTGGCAGTGGCCGCAGCTAAAGCACCTTCCGCCTCTCACGAACCGACGGCCCGCTACTGTCCTACAATAGTAGTGCTAACCTTTAAGAGCCCGGGGTGCGTTGTCGTGTTTTTGTTGGTGATTACAGGCCCTCGCCAGCGTGCGTCCTCCAGAGGTGAAGAAGGCGGAGAAGAAGGTGAAAGAAGAAGTCAAGCCACCGGAACCGGTCCCCGAGAAGAGTGAAGAAGCAAACGAGGCGAGTTACTCCGATCGGCTCGGCTTTGAGCAGCTCTTGAGCTGCGTAGCCGCTTGTGAAAAGCGCCCTGTTTTAGGCAGGATGTGGCCCAGTGTTGTGGTCGTAGCAATTGGCGCTTGTAGCAGTCGAGGATAGTTTTTTGTGTTCAAGTAGGGCCTGCTCTGCACCCGGGAACTTCACAAGGGTGGCCATTGTGCTGTGTGCTTCTTGACTAGAGCCGCGTTATTTTTTCTAGAGGCACGTTGGAAGCAGTGAAGCACCTGCATCATTTTTCAACGACGGTGCGGCAAACCCGATCCCTTGCCGCCGCCATTTGCGTATGACTCCGCGCCGCTGCCCACCGGCGTTTGTGTTGTACCCCTCCCGTCACAGGAAGACTTGCTAGACTTCGAGGGCGAGGAAGAGGAGGAGGAAGAGGAAAAGAAGATAGAGCCAAAGGACAAGGCCCCCGTGTCTGTCCCCCCACCCGACGCAACCCCCTCCGGCGTCCCGCCAGTGGGCCCGTGGCTGGCGCCGCCAGACACGGCGGCCGCGGCGAGGGTGCGACTATCCCTGTACTTCGCCCTCTGCGTCAAGTCTCGGCCGATGCTCTCCGGGCTCCTAGAGGCCTACGTAACCGCCACCCCCGCGGCCAAGGACGGGCTCAAGGCCGAGCTGCCGTTGCTGGCGAGGGCCGCGGCTAAGGGGTTCGGGGAGGCCGGGGTGGTGGAGCTCGTGGCGGCGTCGCCGGTCGGGACCAAGCCGTTGGCCCTGCTGATGCTGGACCTGCTCGTGCCCAGGGACACGAACAAGCCTTCTCCGGAGATGGTGGCTGCGGTGCGGCGGCTGCGAGAGACCCGACTTGTCGCGGAAGCCGAAGCGGAAGCGGTGGTGAAGGGGGAGGAGGAGGGTGGCAAGGTGGGCGTCGTTGAAGGAGGGTGGAGCAAGGCTGGCTGCGTTTGTACTGATAAGAGAGCACCGCCGGTCTTCAATACACACGGAGAGTAGACGTCAGTCGATAGTGTTTGGGCACCGCGTCCATAGCTTGCCTCTTGGAACTCCAGGTGACGATCTACATCCTTATGACCCCTGAATGCAGTTCGGAAGAGTCAGACAACCAGAAAGTTAGCCCTGTCCTGGCAGACTGTTTAGATTTCCAGCGTCTCCTGCGCGGTGTGTTCGTTCGCTGCATGCGCAAGGCGGACGAGTCAGCTGCCTGCCAAGTTAACGTGCCTGGGCGCATTACAGCTATGCACCACGCACAGTATCGACCGCCTCCAAGCTACAGAAGTATCGCAAGATATCTGTCCGCCTGTGGACTCTATACACGCCTTTTTTCTTCGTCGCAAGCACACGCCCACCTCGAAAAAGGCGCAGAAATCTCTTGCTCCTTCATGCGAAAATGAGAAACAATCGTAAAAAACAGAAATTGTAATTGTTTTAATTGTTCGCCTTTTTGGGGGGGGGTTGTCTAGGTGGATGAGCCTAGTGCCGCAACCGGCGTGGAGTACATGGTACCAATACTCGGTGGCTTGGGACGAGAGGGTGTCATGGCAGAACTGCCAGCCTTGTTGCAGGTGAGCTATGCCTATCTATCTTTTGCATGGTGTCTATTTTGTACGTGCTGTCCCAAGGAGAGCATGTAAAAGGGTCTGAGATGGTTGGGGGTATAGCCTGGAGCGTAGCAGATACCCAACAGCGTGTCGTCGAAAAACGGGCAGTTCGCTGTCTGTCTTCACGTAGTCTTGGACTGTACCTGCTTTGGCACACTGCTGCTAGCTAGTACCGAGTGCACGATGTTGTGGTTGTTATATGTACAGAAAATTGAAGCGTTTCGTTGTCTGACGATCAACGGTGTGAGCTGGTTCGTTTGTTGCTGCTGTCAAGGCGCGGGACCGGGGCCTTTCGGCGCGTGCCCCTAGTTCAGCGTTACCGTTCGCTGCCTTACCATCAACTCGTTTTACGGTAGTTAAGTCTGTCTCTCTTGATTCGAAACAATTTCTCGTGATGGATGCCTTATCCCCCTCTCCTCACCGCTGCCTGTCGTATAAGTATGCATATCTGTCAGCCTTGCCTCGCCTCGCCTTTAGAAACACGGGCGTTTCCGGTCTCATCGTTACCAAACATGCGCGTTGCGTTCAAGGCATGCCGAAGGATTAGGAAAGTATGGTTACAGCGGCGCTAATCAGGCCGGGAGTGAAGCTCCGAGGGCTCGCCATGTCTCACTTTCTGTCTCTTGTATGTATGCATGTGTAGGATTTCAACTTCTTTGGTGCTCGGGTCGTTTTTTCTCTGCTGGGACAGCGTTTTTTTCTCGCGCTTTCTTCTGCATGGCGAGCAGAGGACCCGTCGGCACATGACCCGTTACGTGTGGGGCTCGCGAGACACCGGTGGTGCGCGTCAGGGCCGCCCAAAGTCCCTTGGACTGGCTCTTTAATCAAGGGTTGGGATCAGACATGAAAACTGAAACCAGAACTTTGTTTTTGCCCCGCGCCATGCGCCCCGTTCCCACGCGCCCACACAGCTGCTGTGATTGTTGTGCACACACCTGCCACACAGCAACTGGCGCATGCGTACCTGCAGCGGGGACCAAGACTCTTGTTGTTGCTCCTGGAAACACACCACGCGACACAGAGGCCCTCTCGCACAACTCACTCTGGCAGCGCGGTCATTTCAATTTCAATTCCGAAAGATCGAGAAATTCAAATACTTACAAAAAGTTGTGGTTCTGTAGCAGTCTACGTCTGTCTGTCTGTGACTGTTCTTGGGCACGTTGAGCGTCTCTTTGATCCGCTGTTGGTGTTTTGCGTGAAAACGTCCCACACAAGATGGGAAACAAGCTTACCCAAGAAGAGTAAGTGATCAAACACAGCGGCTTCCAGCAGTAGGACCTGCAGCAAAGACAGCGCTAGCGTACATAAAAAAGCACACACACTCTCGCGCACAGGCGAGAGTCACGGCGGGAGAATACATAATACCCCGCACATGATGTAAATTTACTGGCAAATTAGTATGAAGTACACAGGCTGCACGCAACCCGGCACTCCCGAACGTCATGACGATCGACCATGCGACCGTGATGACATTGATTTTGGCCATGTCCCTCTTGCTTCGCCCCCGGGAGGCAAATCACCTAACCCACGCAGGGGAACCTTGTATGCGTGTACGATTTTGGTTTTTTACTTTCGTGCGTTTCCCCTGTCGATTACCTGGCGTGCTGCTGCAGGCTAGCGACGGTGTGATCCGAGCAGCGTTCAGACGGCTGACACAGCCGGCCAAGGGCGCGACGTACACGCCGGCGGAGCTGGTGGTGGTGCTGAACCAGTCCGATGCAAGGGTGCCCATCAAGAACCTCACGCGCGCGCTTTCGCTGTGCCTCGAGAACAAGGTGGCGTGAAATAGTTTGATTGATGGGCCTGTTTTACGCGGGTAACGGGTAGTGCACCGCAGTTCTTCTTGCCTTTCCAAATGAGGCGAAACATTTTCAAGATTTTTCATGCACAACACAATGCTTACGCTTGACTGGCTCCTTGAGACCCCTGCAGACAAGCGGGGAGAGAAGGTACGAAAGCAAGAAGGACTTGGATTCGTCGTCCGTGCGGACTAGTGTTGAGGTGGAAATGGAGCACGCAGTCGCGAGCTTTCGTCGACCGTACGTACAGTATCTGGTTGTTCTACGACCTTTTGAGTGTGAGGAACTGAGGTATCGGCAAAACGCTGGATTGTTGCGACGGCGAGAGAGTGCATGACTGACTTGAAGGCGTTTCGGTAGAAAAACATGATCTAAGACGAAGTAGAAGTATAATTCCTTGGCCGTGGCTCCTGGTTTCGTACTCCTCTACTCCTCAAAGTCTCGACAGATCAGATATCAAACAGTACAGTCGCTTCTTGGAGATGTTGCGTGTTCAAGTCACGCACTCTTGTTACTTTTGCCACAAAAAACTTCAAGCAGCTGGTTGTCAAGAGCAAGCAGCTTGTTGACTGATGAAAGCGCACGAACANCCTTTCCCCCCCCCCCCGCCCCCCTCCCCCCCGCCCTCCACCACCTCCATCACCTCCACCACCACACAGGCGGTGTACAACTACCCCGTGCTGCGCGAGGCCCTGAACATGATGTCGCAAGTCCCGACCGCCGGTCAAAACGGCGGCGTCGTCAAGCAGATCCCGCTGCTGCTGATGCGCACCGTCATGGTCTCGGTCGCGACATTCCCCGAGCTGAAGAACTTCGTGGCTACGGTGGTGCTGGTGCGCTTGGTTCAGCACCAGGTGCGCTTGGTTTGTGACGACGTTTCCCGCGAAATTGTTGTGATATGTCGTTCAGAAAAAGTCAGCATGCGCGGACCTGTTGTGGTGAACCTTGTTGGGGTGAACGTAGCATTCGATACCCGCGAGGGGGGGGGGGGNGGGGGGGGGGGGGGGGGGGGGGGGGGGGGGGGGGGGGGGGGGGCTCGTGGTGAGCCCTTACTGAGGCTTGTATCGATTTGTTTTTTTTCACCGTGGCGGGCTTCGTAATCTGGTCAACAAATTTGCGTGCGTGCCGTTTGTTGTTTTTGCCTCGGCAAGGGGTTCATACCTTCAACTACAGTGGTTGACAGTTGACGGTCTGCCTCACCTCTTGTGGCGTTTGCGGTATCGATATTGAGGCCTGTGCTCCGTAGATGAATTATCTTTTTTTTCGGTGACTTTTTCCGATTGCCAAAAATATAATCTGTGATTGCTCTAGCTGCACGAAAACGTTTTTCGGTGAAAATCAGCGACAAAAAAGGAAGTTGAGAACCAAAAAACACTTTCGGTGATTTTTGGTGATAATTTGAAGTAATATTGGGATGAACTGCCGAAAAACGTTCTTCGGCGATTTTCGGCGACGTTTCGAAGGATCGCAGTAGGTACTCCACGTCAACTACCAGGGGTGGTGTCTGCAGCGCGGTGCTTGGGTTGCGTGTGCTGTGTGCTGTGTGCTCTGCTGCTGTGCTGCTGCGCTTGAGGGGGGGTATCTGATAGGGTTTAGGGGGTATGGCCTGTATACACGGAGCCCCCTAAAAAAACAAACGGTGAAAGTCGGTGGGCGCCGGCAACAATCGGCGAGGCACCTCCCGTTTTCGGTGATCGGCCACTTTGTTTCGGTGATTCAAGATGCTCAATTTTTTCGGTGACCTTTTCAAAATTCGGTGGTCTTCAGTGATCACCCACGGAGCACAGGCCTATCGATATTGGACACCAACTTGTGTTTTCTGGTGCTGCTTTACTTCTGCTCATGCTTTCCACGCCCCCCCCCCCCCCCCCCCCCCCCCCCCNNNNCCCCCCCCCCCGCCCGGTTCCGATTTTGATGCAATCAAGGTGTGGACGTCCGACGGTCTCTGGAAAGGGTTTTTGCGGTGCGCCAAGATGATGGCCAAGGAGTCGGGGGCGACGTCTTTCATCGCCATGGTGCAGCTGCCGGAGAAGAAGTTGAAGGAGGCTCTCGCCAATCCTCTCATGAAGGTGTGGCCTCGGCTTTTCTGGGCACACCGTCGGCTGTTACATACACACGGGGGTGCTGTATTTCGGGGAGAAACCGCGCTGTGCGGCTTGTTGCGGCTTGTTGTCAGCAACGAGACGACGTTCGGGGCTCGCACACTTTTTCGGCTTCCTTGCTGTCATATGGTTCCGCTTTGGCGCTTACTCCTTTGCGGCTCCTATCCTTTCTTCTTTGTCGGGTAATTGCTTGTTGCGGTTTATCTAGTAGTACAGTACTTGGTCTTCAATTCAAACGCTATGGCAGTATCGTTTCTCCACCGCGTGTCCCAAGATGTCCGACCGGCGCGCTTGTCTTCCAACATGTTGCACGGAAGGTCCAGCTTTGCCTCATGCTCCATCTCTTACCCCCCCCCCCCCCC